GTTCCCCTCTCCGAGCGCGACTTGCTGTATCCGTGCATGAAGGCCTTACCAGAAGTGGCCCGGATGCTGTCTCGCCGCTTCGCGAAGTCACCCGCCTTGTACCTAAACGCGAGACGCAGGGTTGGAGGACTCCGTCGCCCCTGTTGCCGCTGTTAGCGAGGCCGCCGAGACCCCCAAGACAGTTGATCCAGAGGAGACTACGCCCAAGTCACGCAAGCGACGTAACCCTGAGCCTACGTCGGAGCTACAGCAGGTCACCTGTAACTCGTTCTCTTGGGCGAGTTCAATCTAATGACACATGAAATCTTGTACCGGATCCGGGTCATATACGTGGCGAGAAAGGTAATCCGCTGTATAATTTTCAGACCCCTTCCGATACCGTATCTCGAGATCATATTCACTTAACAAGACAGCCCAGCGAGCGAGTTTACCATTCTTTGCGTCCATTAACCATTTAAGACTTTGATGGTCCGGTAGTACTGTAACACATCGTGATTTAATATGGTAGTCCAGTTTTTGTCAACAATAAATGATTGCAAATGCTTCTTTCTCTCGGATAGGCCAATTTTGTTCGGTGGTATTTAACTTACGACTAATATAATGAACTGGTAACCATTCATTGGCTCGAGAAAGTTTCAATACGCCTCCGATCGCATAACTTGAAGCATCTACTTCCAACAGATATTTATCGGCGTCCAACGGCTGTGCTAAAACAGCATCGATTACAAGTTCTTTAAGTCTGTTTAACGCATCTTCACATCGTGACGTCCATTTGATCGTGACTATCTTCTTCGTTCTATTAGGTGTACCTTTTAATAGATCGGTAATTGGTGCCGCTATCTCAGAGTAGTTCGGAATAAAAGCTTGTAAGAATCCGGTCATGCCAAGGAGGGAACGAATTCCTTGTGTCGTGGTTGGGGCTTGAAGGCGTTGAATTGCTTCAATCTTCTTGGGATTAGGACGGATAGTTCCTTCCTCGATTATGTGACCCAGGTACAACAGCGTAGTTGGCAGGAATTGACATTTTTCCAAATTGATGGTATAACCAGCTCTCAGCAGCCTCTCGAAAACTTCATCAACTAATTGGAGCAGTTCTTGCAAAGTTGGGGCATGAATCAGTATATCATCCAAATAAACCAGAACTCCTGAATAACGTAAATCATCTAGTAAGAAATTCATGCTTCGTTGAAATGTGGCCGGCGCGTTTGTTAACCCGAAAGGCATGACCTTAAATTCATATAGACCAGTAGAAGTGCGAAACGCGGTGTATTGGATAGAGTTATCCGCCATCGGTATTTGCCAGCATCCACCGCGTAAATCTAGAGCCACAAAAAACTTTGAATCCTTAAGGGAACGAATAAGTTCAGAAAGTTTCGGAAGTGGATACTTGTCGGTTATGGTAAACTTGTTTAAGGGACGGTAATCTATACACATACGCCAGTCTCCGTTTTTTTTAGAATCATGACGATCTCTGAAGCATACGGGCTAGCAGAAGGACGAATTACTTCATCTGTAAGTATTTTGTTTACTTCTGTCAAGATTACCTTATCTTGGTCGGTGGTACGGGGTCTCGGCCTGCTGACGATGGGACGAGTTGTAGTCAAGGTCTAATGATGCAGGAGCTAGCTAAATTAATTGGTAGTGATCTTGTAGCCCAGAAGGAAATAGCCCAGTCCGATACGATTCGAGGCCCTTAAGCGGGGATGTTGATCTTGGGCTAGTGGGACTGCCCCTCGTGGACGTATCCCCGATTAGCACAATAGTGCCATTACTGCCGGTGTCGTCAGAACAGTGATCCAAATCATTCTGAGTAAGCGGGGTTCTTGTTTGACTTAAAGGAAGGCCCACCTGTTCGAGAAGGTCTTCGCGTGATGAAGGAAGATTTGCATTCTCAAATTCTTGTAACCAGAAGTCCACTTGTTCGGGGGTAGAAGGACTGTTGATCTTCCTTAAATGGGTAAGATGTCTCGTCTGTACATTGCCAGATTTGAAATCTTTAACTCGAGCGCTGTAACCTAGATCACTCACGGAGGCTACTCGCTGTGGAAGACTCCAAATCTTGGGGCTGACTTGTCTAAAATCTTTTGTGATCACCAAATCGCCTTCCTCAATTTGTTTATGACTCCTCTTTCTATTCTGAGATGCTGCGTGACGTATTGCTTGATCCTCCATGCAGGTTATATCATTATCTCGTCCACTATTGAACCACTCCATCCTCTCAGCATTTGAATCATAGATTAAATCGTATATTTCTCTCTCTCGTGGGGTAGCCACAGGTACACCGAAAAGCCAGTGTCCGGGTGTATCTTCTAACAACGTATGATAGCTCGTTCGATACAGGAATAGTGTTAGAGAAAGGCCTTCCTCTGGGTCTAACATCTCGTTTTGCGGTATACGTTGATGATGTTTCCTAAGGTGCCTGTGAAACGATTCGACACCCGTCAGAGATCGGGCGGTTGCGTGATGCTTTTCGTAATGAGCCAGTGGAATGGATCGATGGATAGTCATCCTCCGTTTTGTCTCCTTCTTATGATTTATTTTATTACGAAGGGTAGAATTAGAACCTTGATCCTGGAAGGCACAGCTTGCCTGGGTAAGACTACAGAGACTGGCTGAAGAAGGATTTTCAGTTATCGTCGGTGACTACGCGGAAGATTGCGTGCAGCACAACGTATTTCGAGATAAGAATCTCGATAATGTACTGGAATTAGCCTACATCTTATTTCAGTTTAGTAAACTGAAACCTAACACACTGCATGACAGAGGACCGTTGAGTTCTTCAGCATATAGGATGGTTCACGACAGGATTTCGAGGTCTTGTTTGCCCGGCTGCCTGCTCAGTTGTGGAACACATTCCGTCAATTAAACATTTTCATGGTGGTTGAGCACGATATTAAGGGGGGCCTACAGAGAATGATCCTTCGGAACAATGGAATTGACGTGGTGAGTGAGGAGTATATCGATGTTCAGAATATGGATTAATGCCCTATGCGAGGAAATCAGAACAACCTTACGCAATGATCTAAGTGGTGAGGGCCGACCCGGGCTCCGCCCCGGCCGGAGTCAATGGGCTCACGTGCCCCACCTGGTCTATGCCCATGCACGTCACCCAGGTTACGCATACGCAGGTGACCGTCGAACGCTACCACGGTGGGGGGCGCGCTTGCGCTTGCACCGTGCACAACCGGCGGAACTGATACGATACCGCCGGCGAGGTCCACCTGGTTCTGCGGGGAAGCGGGCTTCTCCTCCGTTCCTGCCCGTTCCTCCAACCTCGGCTTCTTGGCCGCCTTCTCCTCCTTGGCTCC